TTTGTCAATGAACTTAGCCTCTCTCAGCCTCTGGTTTCTGATTTATAACGCAGAATAGTAACGCCTCAATAAAGAAAAAACTCATGGACTAATGGATGCACACACGCACACACACACGCACACACATGGACACACACACAATTTCCCACGCTTCAAACTTGCAGTTAGAAGATGAATAAGTTCTGCAGCTCTAATACTCACAGAGTGATTACAGTCAATGACACTATTTTACATACATCAAAGTTCCTAAGCGACTAGATCTTAAGTGTTGTCACCACAAAACAGAAACAATCATAGGATGTTCTAGAGGTGTTACCTAATGCATGGTGATAGCCATATTGCAATATATATATGTATCAATTCAACACATTGTACACTTTAAACTTACACAATGTGACCTGTCAATTATATCTCAAAAAAGAATAAAACAGTCTTTAAAATTTTTGCTATGAATAAAACCCAGAATCATAATATTTTCCTAAGAGGGTCATCGTGAGGCTTAAAAACTGACATGAACCAGTGCAGAGTCTGGCGTCAGAGAGGGTGGCTTGCCCTGTAGACACCACATCCCCTCCCAAGGAAATAGCCCCGTGGGCTCAGAAGGTGCATCCTCAAGTGTCAGATGAATGACATGCCTGTTCAGGAGGCTTGGAGTGGGGAAGTGGACCCACCTTGTCCTTTACAAAGGGTTTTTATTTCTGTTATTTCATGATTCTTCAGAATGTCCTGAGGGTTTCATGTACCCTTTTTTTAAGGGAGAAGCCCTGGGTTCAGAGAGGTTAAGTGATTTGCAGTTATCATGCATCACTGAGACCTCAGCCTAGGTTTGCTAACTTCATGGAAAACCCTCTTTCTACAACCCACTGCAGTGATGAGGAGGAGGTGTGAGACCTGGGCCTTGGTGATGACAAGATCTGAATATATAAGGAATAGGAACTGTGTTCCAGGTAGGGGCATTTAATAAACAGGTATAGAGGCAGGGACAGTGACGTTGGTTTCCAGGAAGAATGATTAGACAGGTTTTGCAGCATAGGAGAGCTCATGTAGGAGTAGAAGAGAAACAATGGAATTTAGGTTGAACATATATTGGAGGGCCTCGAATGCCAAACTAAGGGATAGAGGCTGTATTAGGCCATAGGAAGCCACTGAAGCTTCCAGAGGAAGGGAGTGATGGGGTGCACCAAGATGGTGAGAGGCCTCCAAGTCATGACTCATTGGGAATAGTTGAACAAACTGATGTTTAATTGGAAAAGAGAAAACCTTTGGGGAAAGAGAGGTGTTTGCTAGACTCTGGAGAGAATACGATCCTCTGGTGAAGGAGGAAACAGGTCCCATGTGTTCAGTGACCATTTGGAGGAGAGGCAGTGAGGATCAATGGGTAGAAGCTCTAGGGAGACAAATTTTCAGTTTAAATGAAGAACTTTCTTGTCCTTTCATTTTACTTTAACTTGAGTTCACGGAGAGCCCACTGTGTGCCCCCGGCACAGAGACTGATGGACATAGACAAAGTTCCTGTCCTTCGGAGCTAAAATGGGGAAGATGTGCCTTAAAGAGGGTCACCCCAGAATTGCCACTGTCATTGAAGTTTTCAAGAGAAATTTTTCAGGAAAGGGGCTTCTCTTGCAGGGAGAAAGTCTGGGCTGGATGGCTTCTCAGAAGATCCTCTGCCTCCAGACATGTTGTGAAATCTTCAGCAACCCCAAATCCCTTAATTAGAGGGAGAAAACAGGCAAATGATCGATTCAAGTCTCCTTTTTTTAAAAGCCCATATTTACATGCTCTATCTTAGCTGGGGTTTGAGAAGCAGAGTGTGGCCAAGCAGGAATTTCATCCTGCATGTAGCTGGGTGACTCCACCTAGGAGTTGAAAATCATTTAGCTGAAATTGTGACATAGCGTGCAAATTATGGCCCGCCTGCAGACTGGGGCTGCGGCTGCATCCTTGGCGCAATCTGCCAACAGCTAATATTAAGTCAACTCAAGGTAGACTCCTGCCAGGGTGGTGGAGTAAGAGAGACAGGGGCCCAGGGCTGTGCAGTTACAGGCTACAGAGACAGGCACAGCAGGGAGGAGTTGAGGGGAAACAGTATAAACCCATCCCATGTACAGAGGAGCGCAATATCCACGACTTAGTGGTTTTGTGTCTCACCGCAGCCCTGGGAGGTGTGTGGCTAGGCTAAGCAGCAAACTGAGGGTCACAGAAGTGAAAGGCTCCACCACAGTCACACAGAGGGCCAGCCATAGAGTCTGGTTTCCAATGGGATCTTTTGAATCCAACTTGGGCACCTTGCTACCCCACTATCCTGGGGGCAACTGGTCAACTACAGGCTCTTCTATGGAAGACCAGCGGCCAGACCATGGCCACATCTGTGGGCTGCATTGCAAAATCTGCAACACTCAGGAATATGGGGTTCGAGGAAAATAAGACCACTACTAATATTCATACAACTCATCACCCTGGCTGTGCCAGAGGGACTAAGCACTTCATATTCATCAGCTCCTCTAATTCTCACACTGATTAAGCCTCAGTATGAGAGGGGAGAGGACTTGGCAGGGCCAAAATTTGGACCCATGTCTGGGGGACTTCGGGATTCCTCTCCAAAGGCAGTACTCCTCCCTGCCCCACCTGCTGGCTGCCCAAGAAAGCAACGCCCAGGGACAAACAGCAAGAACAATAATAATACTCTTGTTATTATGTTTATGCCACACTGAGAGCCTGGGGAGTGCTTCCACAGCCATCCATCCTATTTTGCTCACAGTTGCCATCCATCCTATTCTGCTCACAGTTCTGGGGCTTCTGGCATCACCAACCAGGCATTACAAGGACCCTGCCCAGAGTCACACACGTGTTGTGAAATCTTCAGCAGCCGTAAATCCCATGGCAGAGCCACGGCCTCAGGGTCCAGCACTCTTTGCTGTATCCCTTCCACCCTCTGCTCTTACCCCAGCCAACAGAGGTCACGTTCTGGAAAGCATGGTCAGAGCCACCTCTCTTGAAGCCACCAGAGGTCTGGGAAAGGCTGAGGTCCCACTTCAGTTACACAGCCAACCTCAAGGTCAAGCACACTGATTCTGGGGTCACTCAACAATAGGTGGGTTTGATTACCATAGTTGCATAGAATCAGGTTAACCCATTTCATCCCCCTGTAAAATAGCAATGATCAGAGTACCTGTGTCATAGGTTGATGGGAAGACTGGAAAGAGAGATCTATGTGAAGAGCTTTACCTGCCTACGGGATTGATGGTGATTGTTAGTCCCATCTTGATGGTGATTGATTCACTTATTCAGAAGCAGCTGTGCTCGTGCAGTTGTGCTAGGGTCTGAGAAGATATGAATAATGTGCAGGCTGTGCCTTCAAAGAATTCAGCCTAGGGAATGGGAGCAGACAAGCAAACAATTCCAGGGTGTGAGACACGTGTGATAACAGAGGTTCTGAAATGTACAGAAATGCTGTGGGGACCCAGAGGACAGAGAGGACATCGAGTCCTTTGTCCCAGCCCACCTGCCTTTCCTTCTCCCTGAAGACCTAACATCATCCCCACTCCAGCTCCTGGGAGAGCCTTGAGAAATGCCTGGTCCATCATAAATCTGAATTATCATTATCATTATTGTTGATTTTATTATTATTTTACAGCCTAAAAGATTATCTTTATTTTATTTAGCTTGTTTGTTTTGTTTCTCTATGTGCCACAGATGAGTAAAATCATATGGTGTTTTTCTTTCTCCATCTGATTTATTTCACTCAGCATCAATCCCTCTAGGTCCATCCATATTGTTGCAATGGCAGGATTTCATCTTTTACATATATTTATATATAGCTGAGTAGTATCCCATTATGCATCTATACTACATCTTCTTTAGCCACGCATCTGTCATTGGGCACTTAGGTTGTCTCCAGCTTTGGGCAATTGTAAATAGGAAACTGATTTTTGCTGTTTAAATCCCTGATCTATCATAGGAAATTTTAATACTTAGAAATATTTACAATAGGATCTTTTGAAAGATATATTCCCTTAAAAACAATAACCAAACAAAAACTCTAGAATGCCAGAGTCCTCACTCCCTTCTTCTTTTTAACCTTTGTACAACCTGGGGTTAGAGAAGGTACATGGCTTGCCCTCCGGTCTTATAGAGAGCACGTAGCAGAATCGGGATGAAACCATGTAATTACACATTCACAGGCTGTCTTCAATGATTCATTAAAAAAGAGCAGTTTGCCCCAATCTGGAATCAAACTGATGTTCAATTCCTGATGATATCTGGACTTAACCCATCATGGTACATCCACTTGCATCACTTTCCACTTGCATCACCTCATCTGATCATTCCCACCGCCAGCAGAGGAGGGCGGCATGATTGTTCCCAGTCACAGACAAGGCTCTGAGGGGTAGGCATGGCCGACCCAGGGCCCAGCCAGCGGTGCCACTGGGGACTTCCAACTCCAAATCAAACATTCTTTTTGCTGCACTGCAACCCTGAACGACTGAGCCGTGTGAGCATCCCACACCCTGTGCATGTGCAAAACATTGCTAGGAGTGTGTGTAATGAAGAAGGACTAAGCAATTTTCTGATTCTAAATTCTACTGAGACATTTCTCCGACCCACAGAACTTCTCAGCAGCAGTTCTGGACAGGATACTTCAAGAAAAGCATGTCATCATTTTAAAATCATTTTTAATGCTTACCATCCAGGCGATTGTCATCTTTGGGGAAAGAAATCATAAAAATGAACTCTACGTTTTTTCTTATCTCCTCTGTTCTCCCCCACCTGGTCTTGCACAAGCAGGGTGACCTTCCATTGGGTGACAAGTATGTCGTAAGTGAAACGTTTACAAGCACTACAGGAATGACCTGGTGCCTCGCCCACCTCATTAGAATTTCTAATTGGGGTGTGTAGGAGAGGCTTCTATAAATGGTAAGGCGATCCCCGGCAAGCCTGTCTCCCCATACTGTCCGTGCCATTCTGACACAGCCCGGAGAAGAGGCAGAGGCAGGCGAACCATGGCTGGTGAGTGCGTGGCATCTTCTGTACCATCTTCCTTGTTGGAAGCCCATGCTGTTCCTGAGCCAGCTGGAGAGGCCAGAGTGTCGGCCTGGCACAGCCTGCCTTGGGGCTCTGAACGCTGGAGCTTAGTATTTTAAGATTGTATTCAGAGGCACCTCGCGCTCCGTGACTGCCTAGACCTCTGTCGTGGTCCTGGGGTAGAAAAAGAGGCTTGGAATGTGGTTGTGAGTAATGGGCAGGTATTCCACGTGGTTGGAGGTCGTGTCCCCTTAGACAGATGGGCAAGCTTGGCCCTGTCCAGCCAGTTGGTACCTGCCTCCCGTGTTTCTCAATGATGTTGTACTCAGCTGTCAGTAACACAGGCAAAAAAAAGCACATCTCAGAACCACAAGGGAGTGAGAAAGTGACAGCGTATAAGTTGATTTAAAGGAAGCCATCAGCAGCGCTGGAATGCTCCTAAGTAAACTGCACGTCAGGAGGCGCCGGCAGGCTCTTTGAAGTGGCTGGATGAGCTGAAATCTCCAGGAGGAGCAGGTGTGCCCCAGACCATCCCTACCAGCAGCACCGGAAGGGGGGGGGAGAAAGAACAATAAGAAGCGCAGGTGCTTTATCTCTGCGGTCACTGTCGAGGATTCGGGCTCTGGTTAGACAGGGCCCCTGCTAAGAACCATGCTAATTATTGCTTGTCGAGGTGCTCGGCCTCGTGGGTTGACAGCGACGCCAAACCCAAACAAGGCATGAGTCAAACCTGTAAAATATTGTGAATGGCGGTCAGGACCGCAGGAAGGTTTGCTAAAGAAATAGCTGAGCAAGATGCAAAAGGCAAGCACTGGTGACTTCCGAAATCATGAAGATCGAGACAAGGTAGTTGCAAAGCCACCCCCATTTCCTCCTGTGAACACGCAGCTTTGCAGGGTTTCTAGGAAGAGGAGTTTTGGCTCCCGAGAGCAAGTGGGATGTCAGCTGCCGCCCCCCAGTCTCCCTCCCTCCGGAAGGAGGAGGAGGTGCAGGAAGGAGCAGTGACTTACAGGGGTCACGCAGAGTTGGTAGCAGAGTCCAGACGAGGTCCCCACAGTGTCCTGTCCACTGTGTCCAGAGTGCAGAGCGGGATGCTCACGAGTGCCTGTGACATCCGCCACACAGGAAAGCAACGCTGAGCCTGGTTTCTCATGTGAACTGTCTCCAGCTGCTAATGCTTCTAGGCTGCAGGTTCCTAATGTCAGGATGAAGGGCTTGAAATTAAAGGACTTTCAGGCTCCTTCCAAGACTGACGGTGCTCTCTCCAGGAGAGGGAGCAGGGATATGAGAGCCAGAGAGCCGGGGCTCAGCTCTAGCCGGGCAGGGGAGAGGTGGTGCAGTCATATCACTCTGGGGCCTCTACAGTGGGCCCAAGAATAACCTGCTCCCCTGAGCCCCATCTGACATCCTGAGAGCCCCAGTGTGTCCATGCCTGAGACACGGACCTTGAGTTGGGTTTGGCTGGGAGGTCTTTTGTGGGACAAGGTGTGTTCCAGGCAGAGGGAAGAGGGAAAAAAATGTGGGTCTGTGGACAGATGTGACTGAGGGAACTATCCTATGTGCGTAGCTGTGAGAGGCCTGTGTCCAGCTCCTAATTTAGGAGCTGTGTCCATGCCTGGCAGACACTAAGTGGTTAGAGTTCAACATTTCATCAACCAGAGATGTTCAGAGGACAACAGAATGCGGACAATCACCTGCTGGGAGAAAGTCAGTTTTTAAGAAGGCGGGGAAGAAACAAGTAAATACCTTCACTCTCTTAATTGCCACAGGCGCCGCAGCTCCTAGCTTTGCAAGCAGGACGAGCACAGTAACTGTTTCTCGAGTGAGTGACGTTACGAATCTGACCCTCGAGAAAGAAGCCGTGTGAGGCATCGAGGGGGACACAGAGATGAGGAGCTGTGGCCTCTGGGGACTCAAAATCAGATGGCGCTTAGTGACACTACCTCATAGGCAAGTGGCCTACAGAGTGCACTGTCCCCAGACTGTATGACAGGCGTAAACCAACAGGAGAAGGAGATGAACCTTGGCTAGGATTTGGGATACAGAAGACCGCAGGGCGCAGATGGCACATGGTCATGGACCTTGAGTTGGATTTGGCTGGGAGGTCTTTTGTGGGACAAGGTGTGTTCCAGGCAGAGGGAAAAGGGAAAAAAATGTGGGTCTGTGGACAGATGTGACTGAGGGAACTATCCTATGTGCGTAGCTGTGAGAGGCCTGTGTCCAGCTCCTAATTTAGGGTTCTTGTTGGAATCAACAAGGGTCCAGTGATTCTGCCTCCTGCTGGAGGGGGCAGCTGGGCTGTGGGGGTTGGGGGGAGCTGCTGGTGGTAGAAAGAGGCCTGGCTACATTCTGCAGGGAGTGGACAGCATCCTCTGCTGGTGGCCCAGAGTGGACAAGACACAGACATTGAGCCCAATGCGGAGGGGAAGCCTTGAGCCCCAGCCCCCAAGATATTTGGAGGCCCCAGATCACAGACCTTGGGGTACACACCTGAGCCAAGCCACGGAGGTCAGAACTGCTGTTCTAGAGACCTGTTGTTCAGCCAGGGTGTGAGCTTTCTGGCCAACTACTTCACTGGGCGGAGCACTGGCCCTGGCTTCTGGGACTTGCCTTCTTGCCCTCACACCCTGATCTGCAGAGGGTCTGTGATGTTCTGGGCTGTGGGTCTGTCACAAGGCATGTTGTCCAGGAGTTAGGACAGCCGCAGCTCTTTCTCCTGCGGAAGTGGTCAGGAACTTCTCCCGGGCCCCTCCCTCTCTGTGAATCTCCAAGAATATGCTGGGCTCCCCATGCACAGGGCAACTCTTCTCTCCAGCCAGCTGGCCCAGAGCCAAGCTTGCCCTCTCTCTGACCTGCACTCTCTCTGCACTCTCCACAGACCACCCCTCTGGCTCAGAGACTAGGGCTCCAGCTACCTGGCCTTTGAGATGAGAATGAGCTGCCTCTTCTCTGCCTAGCCCGGTGCACTTCTTTCACCTGGGGTGCGGCTGCTCCCTGTTCTGCAGACACAGACCTGGCAGCTGTGCCCCACCTGGGCCAGGGCTGCCCGTGATTCAGCTGCCACCTAGGATTGCCTACGGAGGCAGAGGAGTCAAAGGGCACCAGTGCATGTTCAGAGACTCACTAGATTGACTCAGCATTGTCCCTACCTGTTGAGTGATCTTGGTCAGATTTCTTAACCTGTGGTCTCAGTTTCCTCACCTTTAAAATAGGGTTATCCACCTCATCGGTGCTCAGTCTGCACAGATTATTACTTGGAAACTTCTTTCATCTGCCTGTTTTCTCCTTGCCTTGGGGATCTGAAGAAAAGCCCTGTGAGATGAAGTCCATTCCCTAATCAAGAATGATTCCCACAGGGACCAGTACCACTGAGGGCCTCCCCACCACCCTCGCCCCCTCATCAGGCCTCTCACAGGGTTCCAAGTCCCCAGCTCTGAGACTGCTCACCTTCTCAGTTCTGCCTCCACCCTGCTGGCTGTGCACACTCCCCCGAGGGAGCAGCCAACCTCCTCCCCAGGGCCCACATTCAGGCCTGGGGTGTGCGCTGATAGGAAATGCCTCCTTATCTCTTAGGAGTTGAGCGAACACACCCCAGGGTGTTTGGAAGGGGATGTTGGAAAGAATCTGCATTTCTCTCCCTGAGACTGATTTTCCTCCTTGGTAAAAAGAAGACAGGGTCCCCTCCCCACCCCGACTTCCCTCCCAGAGCTGCCAGGTGGCTCCAGTGAGATAAGGTGAAGGAGCTCTGGAAAGTGTAAGGTGGTGGTTCTGTCTCAGCTGCTTATGGGAACCACCAGGAGAGCGTTAGATAAAGCACAGTCATTCCCTCTTCGGAGAGGGGACATTCCAAGACCCCCAGTGGGTGCCTGAAGCCTCCCTATAAGTACTATTTTCTCCTAAACATACTTACTGAGGGTAAAGTTGACTTTATAAATTAGGCACAGTAAGATAGTAACAATAACAACCAATCATAAGGCAGCACCGTTCTAAGAAGACACTGTAATGAAGGTCACACGTGGATGTGGTCTCCTCAAAATGTCTGTTACGCAGTTGTATATCATGGTGGACAGCGGAACGGAAACCTCAGAAAGCATAATTGTGGGTAAGGGGGGCTACTGTAAGCCGTCCCCAACCCAGAGCCATGCCCAGAGATCCCAGAGGCTCTCATTTAATTGGTCCATGATGGGGCTCGGGCAAAACTCACACTCTACCGGTGACTCTTGCGTGCGATTCTCTGGCCTCAGAGATCACACCTGTCTTTGAAACAAAGTGCACAGAGAGGTCCTCCTTCCTTCTCTGCGTCTCCCTGGCCGGGTAGTATCGAGGCAGGCAGTAGGCTAGGGGTGTCCCTTTCTCCCTGGCAGCTTCCTGGAACTGTGCCTAAGTCACCATCACCACAACCACCTTGACTGTGCAGCGTGGCAGTGGAGTCCATGTGGTGAGGCCGAACTGGCTCGCAGTCTGGTCCGGGGTCCAGGCTTTGCGTGAGCAAGTGACATTTGGCCAGTGATGTCACCTGAGCGGACCTCCCAATCTCTCTTCAGTGAAAAGGGAGTTCCAGCACTCTAGGGTGTGTAACTACTGAAGGACACTGTGCAGGTAAAGTGCTTAGCACAGCGCCCGCACCTCCGAGGGCCTCGACGTGAGCGTTTAATGCTCACAGCTTCTTTGTCCTATGTGCTTTGGCCATTATGTAGGGGACCCCAAAGCACTTGTCTCCCCACTTTCAACCTCGGGGGGCCCAGCTGCTAGGGGCGGGCACCTGTTGGAACCCAAAAAGAGCCCCACAAGAGAGGAAGATGTTCAGGTCTCACGATCTCCTTTCTATAGGTGAGGAAGTGTCAGTCAAAGACACTGAGTCTCTGGCCCAAGCTGCTCAGGGCTCCTTCCCCTTCATCCCAGGAGCCCACCAGCCCTTCCCTCAGCTGCCCCAGGACCCCCCACCCCCACTTCTGCCATCTTCCTATGACCTGGATGCCAAGCAATTGGACCACCATGCTGTACAGGGATAGAAAATATCTGAATGTCAGGGAAAAGGCCCGGGGGGGGGGGGGGGGGGGGGGGGGAGAGAGAGAGAGAGAGAGGTGAGTGCGAGAGCAAAGCACCTGTGTTCTTGGAGCCAGCAGAGGGGACCAGGAGGCCAGGACTGGAGACCTCCCTGTGCCCGGAGGGGAGGGGCGGCAGGTGGGAACGACATCCCTCAGCCGCCAGGACCTAAGATCCAGTTTCGGGGCCAAATGCTGCTTCTGAACTGCTCTCTGAACTCAGCAGATGGCTTCTGTTTTCCTCCCTGTAACGTGGGCATGTGGGATTACATCAGTCTTTCCCAGTGGCCAGTTGCCACCCATTAGCAGGTTGTGAAATCAGTTTAGTGGATAGTGACCAGCAATTTTTTTAATATGAAGTAGAAAGAGAAAATAATCAGTACAATATATATAGTCAGGTCGAATATTATTTTGTGAAAGTCTGGGCCACTTAGCGACCCTGTACTTCAACACTGTGCAGACTGTACTTGTTAAGGTGGTCTCTGTCCCAAAAAGCCTGAAGACACTGGGTAGAGTATTTCAGTATTTTATCAGCCCCAAGTGTCTCCGGAAATCTGTGAGATAAAAATGTCTTTGTCTAGAGAAGGGTCACCTGGAAGAGTGTGGGCAGGCAGGGAAACCAGCCCCACCCGCTGGAGTAACTGTGTGTCATGTTGGCCCACCTGCCAGCAGCTCTGTGGTGTGGTCTTCCCAGACAGGAGGTGAAAACCCCAGTCACACACCTGCAACCTCGTCACACTCAGCCAGAGTCTGCTGGGGTGATTCACGACGGAACCAAGCTGATAAGGACCGAGACGGCTGACTAGTGACCCCCTTCACCGTCTGGAAGCTGCTCTGCACTTTGCACGTCACCCCTGCCCACGGCGCACTCTGTGGCGAGGGCGCCAAGTCATGTATCCGTGACTAGGTTTGTCTGCGAATGACAGTGAAGCCCCAGGTAACAAGACCTTCCTTACACAGCCGGTCTGCATGGAGGCACTTCCCGGCAGGCGAGGCAGCCATTCCCAGGGGCTGGATTCTGCCCAGTTCCCCACTCCATGTCCCGAGGGTATGGCCTGGAGCTCTGTCCACACCACACCCACACTCAGGCAGCAGGATGGAAGAAGAGGGCAATATGCAGGCTAAAGGCATTTGTCAAAAAATTTTTTTTAAATAATTGAAATTTCAAAAGAATGGAAATCAGGGTACAAATGGTTGCTTGTGGGTATTCACAACAGCACAAGAGGCCAAAGATAAAAACAAGCTAAATGCCCCTCAGCTGTTGTATGGGCAAAACCATTGCTTTATCAACCAAAATATGACATAGCCACATGATCAAATATTATTTGCTCATAAAAAATGCATGAACAATGTACCAATAAATGCCACATGGATGAACCTTGAAACAATGTAAGTCAAAGAAGCCGGCCCTAAAGCTCACATATTTACGCAAGTCCATCCAGGTGAAATGTCCAGAATAAGCAAATCCATGGGCACAGAGAACAGGTTAGGGGCTACTGTTAGGGGGGATGGAGAGTGGCTGCTAGTCAGCAGGACTGAAGGTCCTGCCTGGATCCCCATTCTAGGATGATCTAGGGACCACGGCAACAGGGGAATGCCAGCTAGACTTGTGTTGAGAATTCTGGTTCTGCCAACTATTGATATAAGATAATATGACCACAAATAGGATATTTAACTCTCCAAGTATTGGTTTTCAGTTTCCATAAGAAATCATCAATCAAGTTAGTGTGTTAAATGCCTTGAATACTATTAGCTGCAGTTGACTTACAGTAGGCTGGCAACAAATAAGATTCCTGCTGCTCCTCACCCTCCAGCTCAGGGAAACCTTGTGCATCCCACTAGGACCCTATTGGGGAACAAGTCTCCTCATGCTGAATGGGGCTCATGTTTGGTGTTGGGAGTGTCAGTGGGGATCATCGCAGTGACCCGAGGCCACAAGTGAGACAGGCAAAATGCCCCTCACTCCTTCCGGTGGCTCTGAGCCTAAGGCACCCAGGAGCTCAGTTTTCTCTGTCTCATTTCCCCCCTGGGAAAGTCACTGGTCTTTGGGATGAAAGGGAGCAACCTCTACCATTGACAGGACAACCTCTACCACTGACAGGACAATCTCTATTACAGCACAACCTTGGCAGAGTGAAAAAGGGCATGGGCTGCTGGAGGGGAGGCAGATGCAAGCTATAGATGTAGCATCCCTCACCCCTTCCTCGTTCCCCTGTGCTTGGTGGAAGCTGTCTGGGCACACATTTTCCGCTCTCAAGGAGCACATGCTCTAGAATATGAGTCCACCTGGGAGAGGAAAGCATGCATCTTTTGGGGCTTGGGAGGGGGATGAGAATTCTGGGGAGACTCATGTGATCTGAAGCCATATGTTCCTTTGAGTGCAAAACAAGACAGAGAGTAATGCTCTACCAAATCTCAGCTGGCAGGGATGCACAGAAGGTAACAAGCATGGTTGGCAGGAGGCAGAGGCTTAGAAAGATGGGGCCATCACCCTAGGGAGGCTGGCATCTAGTAGCCGCGCTCTGCCTGGCCACGTGAAGGCCCACGTCTGTATTCTCTCCGTTCCATATTTACGTACAGGAACGTCCACCATCTCTCTTCCCTCCCTTAGTCCCTTTGTCCTATCTTCATTCAATAGACACTTGGTGATTGCGTGAATGCTTTGTTTTCCCTGAGATTGTTCAAAAACAATGATTTACCCTCATAATAGCTATGTGTATCCAAATGATCGGATGTATTGATGAATGAATCTTTAGTACCCTGAGCTGGTGGTAAGTTCACCTCCCGAGCCCCCCTCTCTTTGGCTCACCTCCCCAGAAACTCTGCCTTTCACTTGAAAGAGTATCTATGATGAATCTGTCCTTTCTCCAAAGTTCCTAGAGCAGGCGACACCCACCCCCTCCCCACCCCAGGTATGGCCTAGAGTCTTGCTCTCTCCCTGCCTTTATCTTCTGTGATAACCAAACATCCCACCTGCTCCCCTACCTTGGGCCTCTCTCCCCGCTGGCTGGGAAGCAGGCCATTCCAATTGCACTTGACAAAATTCTCCTTCTTTAAGATGCAGCATTTTCAGTCTTTTCGGATCTCTTCTGATTCCTTCCTGCCTAAATCTCCCAGTATCTTTTATTGAGAGGAGATCAGATACACCCTTTCCGTTGTTCATTCTCACTTGTTTGCCTTACCCGCTGCTGAAGCTCTTTGAGGGTTAAAACTGCTTTTTAATGTATTTTTATACCCTCAACATTGTCCTTACCCAGTGTGCTAAGAAGAATAGGGTCTCCATATATGCTTATTGCACGAGCACCCTGTACTCACCTGTCCTTATGGACTAAAGTTTCCCCTGTATTCACAGGGATCATTGCATGAAATTAGTTTCTTATTTGTTCATTTAATTCCTTCATTCGCTGGCTTATGCAATTGTACTAGTGCCATCATGCCATATGCTGGGCATCGGAATATAAAACCAAGAAGGACATTCTGATGAGACAGACACATAAAGACAAGAGTCACCCAGGTGTGGGGCTGCACCGCCCATCCCATCACCATGCGCCTCATCATAAAAACAGAGGCCAGCTTGGCTTGAGAGGCCTGGGTGGCTGGTGCCCCGAGCAGAACCTCAAGGAATAAAATCTCTCAAAAGGCTTAAGTAGGTTAAACTCCTCCCACATCATGGACTCACTCATAAGTCCTCAGTTTAGCTCCACAATCATGTGAGAAGCGGTGATGGGGAGGGGCTGGCTTGGGAGATGTTGGTCCTCAGGGTCTTATCAGTGATCTCAGCACCGGAGTCCTAGGCTACCGCGCAGGCAAAGGACAGGCACCGTGCAGAAACCAGCTGGGCACTGGAGTGGTGAGGGCACTGTGTGTCTAGGAGATGCCAAGGGAGAGGAAAGTAAACCAAACGAGGTGAATGATGTGAGGGAAGAAGTTCTCTTTGTGTCCCATCCACTAGGGATGGCACTAAGAGTGGACAGAAAGTGGCACTCAGGTGACACAGGTCTCCTGGCTTGTGCCCTGAGCATTGGGGGTCCTGTTCCCTGAGGGCCGAATGGCAGCTGGCTGGCTGGAAGGAAGCTGGGAACAGTGTGTGGGAGGCTCAGCGGGCTGAAAGGGCAGAGGCGGCCAGGTGGTGAGAGGCTTGCCGTGCTCCATCAAGGTCTTTGGATTTTTATGCGACTCTTTCTAGAAGTTTGGTTCTGCCCTGACTTAGCCCCGCCCCAAAGTTGATCTTTTGGTGACTTGCACTTTTTCCCTCTCTCCACCATTCCTCGCCTCCCAAGATATGAGCAACTCTTTTTTCTCTCACAGCTTTGCAACCCCAAAATATTAACTGGCAAATAAGCGCCAACCGGCAGGCGCATCACACAGACAAGTTCTACAGCAAGCAGCTCATCCTGAGGCGAGGCCAGCCCTTCACATTTTCCTTCAGATTGAACCGAAATCTTGACTCTGGAGAGAGTCTGGAGTTCATCACCTCCACAGGTACCTGCTCACCCCCCTGCGCCCACACACACCTGAGTAGCCCATGGGGCTGTGCATCTTAAGGGGTGATGGCAATGACCCCGGGATCACTGGGCTCTGAGCTCTAGCCCAGCTCTGCCGCTGACTCCCATGTGAGCTTCTGCCTATGTCTGAGCAAGGGATTTGGTCTCCAGGGGCTGTTTAGTTGCTTCCAGCAGTGTCACATCCTGCTTCCCTGAATGATGTCCCCCAAAGGGCCCCTCAGTGGCACTGGAAGCTGATGGCTCCCCACATTCTTCTCAGCAAGGCTTGGCTTCCATTGTCCTCTGTCTTCTTTTACAGGACCTGCCCCTTCAGAGTCAGCCAGGACGAAGGCTGTGTTTCCACTCTCCGGTGGCGCAGGAAGCAGTGGTTGGAGCGCACAGCTCGTGTCCAACCAGGACAACATTCTGAATGTCTCCATCTCCTCCCCGGTCAATGCGCCTATAGGGTTTTACACGCTGGATGCTCAGATCTCCTCCCAGGGCAACAGGTCTGCTATGAAATTTGGATCCTTCATATTGCTCTTCAACCCCTGGTTGCAAGGTAAGCGCCTAACCACCCACACTCCCAGACTTACCTAAGCAGCACCCAGGGATGGGAGATGGGGGAATGATCCTCACAGACTCAGGCTTGACTAGGGAAAGTTTGCGGGCTGCGGGAAGAACACAGAAACTAGTCATCAGAATCCATTCTCAGAATCCCCACTCTGCCACTCACCCAACTGTGTGAGTCTGGGCATTCCCTCTGCCTCCTGAGCCTAAAATTCCTCTCTATTGCTTGAGCACCTTGCTCTTTCCTCTGGAACTGTTGCAGAGATCTCATAAGCTTTTACACACTACACAGTATGGTGCAATTATAAGGGACAATAACCACAATACAATTTTGCAACATGGAGATTGCTCCTGTCTGAAGTCTCATTCCTGGGGGCTCATTTTCAGAACCTCAAGTCATCCCAGGTTTTCCTTCAAGCTCATAGTACCCAAATGAGTTGGCAGCATTATAGCCCAGCTTTGGTGGAGATTGAGAGAAGGGCTGCAGGTGCGGTTTGCTCCAGCCCCCAAGTCTACCTTCAGAAATGAGGAGAACTGGTCTCTACAGTCTTATGTAGGATCCTATTCCCTGATATCTGCTTTTTGTGTCAAATAGCTGATGGCGTCTTTATGGGTAACCAAGCTGAGAGAGAGGAGTATGTTCAGCAAGATGCTGGCATCATCTATGTGGGAAGCGCAAATCGAATTTCCATGGTTGGATGGAACTACGGACAGGTAAATAGCAGATAAGGTCCCTAGAAGCTGGCTTTAGAGATAGGTGGAATTGCCCAAATCTGTCCACTTGAGACAGCTTTCTATTCATTCATTCATAAGACTCTTACTGACCACCTACTATATGCCAGGCTGTGGAGCACACACTAAGGATACAGGAAATGAATAAGCCTTGCAAAGCCATAGCCTCTGAGTCTACAGAGTTCCCAGGTGTGCTCAGCCTGGAAACCTTTCAGGGACACCGCCCCCCACCCCCTCAGCCTTTTCCATTTTCTAAGACATAAATGAAGGCATTAGAATAAGGTCCCTTGCACAGGACACCTAGGCAGGTACCTGCCCTGCCCTTCTCCAGGCTCCATTCCGTAGTTAACCAGAGCAAGTCTGCCGTATGTTTTATATGTTGGATTCTATGTCAGATGTTCATGGGAAGAAAGACAAGAGAAGAAAAAGGTAAAGGGCACAGAGCACCTCTGGGGGTGGAAGGCAGGCTACTTTTGATGGCATAAGCCTGGGCACGTCTCTGTTAGGAAAGGCTTTTTGATCAGAAACATGAAATAGGCAAGGGAGCTAGATAGGGATCATGGAGGGGAAGGCCTGGAGGCAGAAGGAACCGCTCAGTGCGAAGGCCCTACAGCAAGAGAGAACTTGGTCTCCATTTGAGAAGATAAGTCTTATTTTTGTGAAAAGGGCATCAAATCCCTCTTTTAATGAGATATTTTATCTTTCTAATGAGTTCCCGGGGAGTCTAAATAACATACTCAAGATGACAGTCAGAGCTGGATGGGAATTTTGAGATGAGCTGGCTGAGCCCTTATTACACAAACGAGACACAGAGGCCCCCACAGACAAAGTGACTGGTTCCCACCGTGAAGGTCAGGGCCACTGCCTCCAGGGCCACCGGCACCTGGCTCCTGCAGTGAGGGCCGGATGAGGCTTCAGGGTTAGAGACTTGGTAGCTGTCAGTTCTGGAGGCCCCCAAGTGAAAGGACCCGAGCTGTCCCCGGTCCTCAGCAGAGGAGCTCCAGGGCCCTTAATCAGTCTGCACCGCTCATCACTTCTTTCTCCATAACCTGTGATTTCCATTCTGAACAGTTTGAAGAAAACATACTGGACATTTGCCTCTCGATTTTGGATCACAGCCTGAATTTCCGCCGTGACCCCGCGACAGATGTGGCCCGCAGAAACGACCCCAAATATGTCAGCCGGGTGATGAGTGCAATGGTGAGTGGATCGGAAAAACATAATAACTGGCTGTTAGCATGCATCAGCTCCAGCTGTGGGCCAGGCACCTGACTCTGCATCCATCTCACTGGAGCCTCCAAGTGTAGTCCACGCTGTAACCATTCCCACATTGGCCACGGGGCGCATGCGGCCCCTCAGAGGTAAAGGAATTTCCTGGCACACACGGAGAGTGAGTGGCAGAGGCAGAACTGGACAGTTAACTGGCTCCAAAGTCCTTTCTACTGTGTTGTGAGGCCTTTCTCAGATGCCAAGAGAATTGTCCCCTTGGTTCCTGGAGAATGACAACCTGGGACTGGTCATCACTGGGCCTCCCAGAGGGAGGGGCCAGGTTCCCAAGTGAGCATGAAGGTACCCTCCTTTGCTTTGCCCCATCCCCTCCACGAAATAGAGGAAGAATGTTGGCCAGGAAGACAACAGGTCAGACTTCCTGTGACCTCGATGGGGAAAAGGAAGCCCTGGGGATGCAGGTGGCCTGCTCACAGTACAGTCAGGCTGGACAAGGCCTCCAACTGCCCATCCTTTCTACTCACCCAGTTCTTCCATTTACGAGTCCTGTCCTTACACACACACACACACACACACACACACACACTCACATACCCCTAAAACCCCGCAGGACCCCATCTCCCTGCACTCTGTGTGGAGAGAGCACCTCCATCCATCGGAGAGTGTCCAAACATGGGATCAACCTGCTCAAACATTAACCAATTAAAAAAGCCAAAAGTCAGAGAATTCTTGAACTTGAACTCTCTGAAACCCAGTAATTACCCAGACTTGTCCTTAAATTGTTGTTAGTGGACTAGGCATTTCTCAGTCTCTTTACTTTCAGATTAGAGAATACCCGTGTTAATGAGCTAGTTGTGTATTAAGAAATTTGAACCTGTCGACTACAAGATAAATATGCTGGAGTAATCAGAGAGGGCTTCTAGAAAGAGCAGAGTCTTCCACTGACAACTGGGCAAGGAGTCAGCAGGCAGGGGAATGTAGAGACACTGCGGAGACAGGTGGAAGCCAGGGTGGCCGGAGAAGAACAAGGAGAGGAAGTGGGGACTCTGCCACTTGAAGAGTCAGGTGGCCGGCCGGGTGGGACTGAAGCCAAGGCTAAGGTGAAGGGAAGCTGGCGTTCATAGCGCTATGAAGTGAGCCTCCCTGATGGAGAGGGTGTGGAGGCCAGCCGGCTCCAGCAGCTGCTGACTCACTCTCAGCCTCAGGACAAACCACTTTATCTTGGTGCCAATTTCCTCAGCCACACCTCCCTGCTGCTCTCTTCAGGCCTCCTGGTTGGGCTGGGCCAGGAGCTAATTATGGCCTGTGCAGGGCTTTGAAATGCTCAGCTTTCAGCCAGAGATCACCCTGCTGATTACCACTTCTGTGCTGGAGCTTCAGTGACTCAGGAGCTGGTTACGGAGAGGAGGCACGATCTTCCCTCATCGAGGAGGCCTCATCTTGCCTGATGCAGCTATTACAGCCTAGCCCTCTGGAAGGCGGTGTTGGGCTCCCCACCACATGGTTGTGCCCTGGGAGGCTGGTAGGCCTTTCCTGGCAAGGACCCTTCTGTTTCCAGAAGGCTCTCAGAGGCCTTGCCGCTTCTTGACACCCACAAAATCAGGGAGTGGGCCTCACAGGCGACAGGTGGCAGAGCCCTGGAAGATCCAGCCCAGCTTCATGCTGTACCCTTGGGAAAAATGCTGTTCAGAGTTTTATAAACTCTGAAAACTTGGCTCCCGGAAGAATCTAAGAGCTTTTTTCTCACTTTCCCTGTATTGGAAGGTAAAGAACTAAGAAGACAGGTGAATTGACTTGCCCACAGTCAGCAAGCTGACAGGCAGCAAGGGTGGACTTATCACCCAGGTTTCTCCTTTTTTTCTCTTTTACCTTTTCATTGTGGAAAAATTCAGGCCCACACAAAAGTAGAGGGGAAAATATGATGAACTCCTATATGCCCATCAGCATCGGTGACGCTGGTAAAGGTGACCCACACAAAGCCAGTCTTGTTTCATTTTTGTCCACCCCCCTCCATAGAAGATTTGATAAATCCTAGCCATCACATCATTTCATCCATGAGAATTTCAATACGTGTATCTAAAGGACCATGGGACTCAGGTCTCTTGATTCCTAGGCCACTGCTTTCACACTGCCTCGTGGCTGTGACTTACACAAAAATCACACCTTAAGTTGAATGCATGATAGAATGAATGAATGAAAAGCAATATTCCACCTTTATTCTTCCCAAGAAGAAGTTAGCTGCTAAAGTTCTAAAGTAACTTTTAGAAGACCAGCACACCAAGAAGAGTTTCAAGCCAGAGATCCCCAAGCCAGACATCGAGTACTGGCTGTGAGTTCTGGCAAGAAGCCCTCTGAGGCTGCCTTTTGACCCTGTCTTGCCACTGAGCTGTAAAGCCTCAGTTTTCCATGTGAATCTGCTTCCCAGGATACATGGGTTGGGTCAACCAAACCCCCTGGGATCATTGTTACAACTATGGTCCCAAATGACCTCGGGATCATAGGTCTTTCCTCCACTCCGTACTCTATCCCCTGAAGTCTGCAGCTCACTCTCTGTCCTAACTCACCTGAATTTGTTTCCTGCCCAGGTGAACGGCAACGATGACAATGGTGTGATTTCTGGGAACTGGAGTGGCACCTACACAGGTGGTGTGGACCCCAGGATCTGGAATGGCAGCGTGGAGATCCTCAAGCAGTGGAGGAGCTCTGGCTTCAGGCCAGTCAAATTTGGCCAGTGCTGGGTCTTCGCTGGGACCCTTAACACAGGTGAGGTGACTTGCATGGGTCAGTGGGCAGCAGTGGGGTACCCCGCGTACCATCTCTGTGGCACCCCAAGTCCTCAGACTGTCCTTTGACTCACAGTGCTGCGGTCTGTTGGGATCCCCTCCCGAGTGATCACCAACTTCAACTCGGCTCATGACACAGACCGAAACCTTTCTGTGGATGTGTACTATGACTCCTCGGGAACACCAGTGGAGAGGGGCAGTGACAGCGTGTGGTGAGTGTCCCAGAACACCCAGCCTGAGCAGCTCCTTGCTCTCCCCAGCCCCTGAGGCCCAGCTCCAAACACAGGCTGGGAGGTGAGAATATGTGAGCACATGGTTTAGAATGGAAAGGCTGATGATGCTGATTACACATCTAGAAAGACCCAAAACAATCTGTTTCGAGGCATAAATGTGCCATGTGCACCTGCATCGATATACACACACATATGTATAATACAAAGTAGATGCCAACTAGAAGCAGGTTGTCTAAGGTTTATAGACATACCTGTAACTTCATATCGCAGAACAAATATATGAAATATTGTTACGGCTATGTAAGGTCATACCATACGCCAAGTTATTATGCGATACAACTAAAAGGGATTGCCTATACCTGTAGGTACAAACAGATATATCTGTGTGTTTCTCTCTGTAGAGGACTACATGCATATGTCAACCATCCGTTGTTTTATCCCTCTCACAGGACACACACACACGTGTCACTCACAGGCATATGTACAGCTGGATAACCCAATAGCAGATGTCATCTTATTTCCAAATGTTCAATATAGAGATAGTCCATATAAGCATTCTTTATTACTCCCACAATTGGTAGATCCCAATTTCCTGAAATGCGCTTAATCAAAGGAAAATAAAAATTAACAGAAAAAGCTCTCAGACAAATAAATAACAACCCACATCAACAATACAACTGAGTAATTTAAGCCTCCCTTCCCTCCAGAGGAGAGCAGTGGCTATGTAATTGGCCCAAGGTCACTTGGATTCTAGGGGAAGAAATAACTTGGGGTGTTCTTCCTTGATCTTCAATACACACTGATTTATAGCAGATTTTGTTTCCCAACTTCTCACAAAACACAGTCTTTTCTTCCCTCTGTTTTTTTCTTGTGTTGTGTCCAAAGCCTCACCGCAACCTGTTCTGATCGCTGAGGCAGTGCCAGTCCCGGCCTCAAAACAGGAGGGGACTGACCCAACAAGAAGGCTGGTTTGGGAGGAGATTCCTGGAGGCATAGCCCTCTGCGATTACCCTGCGTGCCAGGGATTGCCCAGGGACTGGAACGCAAAACCTCAGTCCCTCTGCTGAAAGCATGGCTGGCGCCACTGGGGACAGACTGGGGACAGGCTACGCCATTCGGAGAGACTCGTTAACCATCTGGATGGTGTGTGGTGAGCAGGGAGTGATTCAGACAGTAAGCCCCACGGGAGCTCAGGAAGGCGCCACCCAGGGAAGCTGCCTGGGAGCAGGAGGTGAGGCTTCAAGCCGCAGTAGGAATTCGTACCCGGACCTCTTGGTTACTGGTTCAGGCCACCGCACCACATGATCTTTATATTTCATTCCAAATGTAATCGCCTAGAGGCAAGTGTGGACCCATAGAGACATTTTACATGTCTCCTCTGTCTTTTTTTTTTATTATTATTATCGTTATGGGGTTTTTTTTGCCTTGTTAGAGGGTGTCAAGCCAAAAGCCTTAATTGTCTGCTGGGAGTCTCCTTGCCCCTCATCCTCATTCCCACCGGTCTTTATAGAACCGACCTTAGACAGCAGTGGGAGCCGATGGTCCCTCTATGCCCAACTCCCTACCAGCTGTGGGTTGAGGGGGGCAGTGGGAGGGAGGAAGACTGTCCTCCTAAGCCCTCGTGCTGGCCCCACCGCCATCTTGTCTAAGACTAGTGTAAGCATTTCACCTTCCTGTCCCCAAGTAGCCCCACCTGCGGGGTTAGCCTCCTATACCAGGTGTTCACATCAGTCTCACACCAGCTGTAATATTTTGATTCTCCACAACTCCGGCTTACCCCACCTTATGTATGGGAGCTACTGATGCCGCCCCATCCTCATAGATGCCACCTGAGGGGAGAAGTTGCTAAACCACAAGTCACTTTCTGCCTGGAGTGAAATTACTAACCTATAATTATAAGAACCAAGTTTGGGCTTGGACAGAAACCTTCCAGCTGAAGCTTTGTATGTTGTCAATGTTGCGAGCTTTTAGAATCTTGTCCAGATTCGCCTAAAGTAATAGAATATGAGGATCAAATGAGGTTAAGCATCTGAAAGTGCTTAATAACAAAGGCAGCAGCGACTAGTAATTTATTGAGCACCTGTTGTATACCCAGCACTGTGCTAAGTGCCTGCATTACTCCTCAGAAATAATGAGATAGCACGATCACAGCCATTTCCATTTTATAATTGAGAATAGTCACATACTGAATAATTTACCCAAGGACATGTCACTAGGAAATGGTAGGATTTGAACTCAGGCAGCTTTGCTAACTATAAAGCCCCAGAGAGATGCTAGAAAGTGTTACTATTCCTGACTGATGGTTGAGAAATCTTCTCTGACCTTGAGATTTTCCAGAGGGCTTGGCTGGACATGGACCAGGGCTCCAGCAAGGCTCGTCCTTTTCTACCCAGTGGGATGGAGAAGAAGCTGGGTTCTTTGGTTCTTTAACTCACACTGAGTTAACATTGTCTCAGGGGTTCTGTGAGGAGAAATGACTCACCTAAAATCAAACTGAATCCATGTCCGAGCTGGGAGTGGTGGGAAATAGCTTCCTTCGATGGACTCTTCCCAGTGACAGAACGTGAACACAGGGAGAAGCAGGGGAGACAGCTGGAGACTGGGCACAAACAAAACAGGAACTTCACTTATGTTCCTCGACTTTTCTCCACCTTGATTTCCTGTCTATAAGATGAAAGGCTAAAAGGGAAGTTCCTTCAAATCTCCTATCAAGTCACATTCACGGCATCTGGAGGAAACATATGTATCTAGGCCATTCTGCTCACGCCAATGGTTTGGCGTAAGGAGAACAAGACCCCAGAGTATTCACTTCCTGAGAATCAGAACGCTTTTGGGTGAACTAAGTCTGGGGTGCTTCTTTTATACTACCTCTCTTCTGGGCCAGTACAAGGAGCCTCTGGGATGTGCTTGGTCCCCAAACAGCACATTTAGAGTACTTTGGCCAACGCTATCTTTATCTTGACATTTCCAGCCTCTTTCTTCATTCATTTGACTTGATTCCCGGATTTCTAGGACCTGCTCTGCTTGCAGACTGTATAGCACCCTGACAGGGAGGTATGTGGGCATCACCCAGCCCTGTGGTCAGCGAGATGGGCCAGCCAGTTCTGGAGAAGAGCTGTTTGCCCTGGTGCCTTGGCCCAAATCCCTATCTCCTGACATTGCCTCGCCACGACCACCAACCTCTGCCCAAACTTAGCCCACCCCCAGCACCTCTGGAGCACCCCACTCAAGACACCCCAGACCCCAGAACAATCCAATGCAGCAAGCATGATTATGTATTGGTGCCAGACCTGGTGCTAGAAAATTCCTAGAAACAAATGAGCACCTGCAAGGCTTACGACATCTGTACTGTCACCTTCCAGAAGGATGGCCCTGACCTCTCTACCTTAGTAAGAGTCTTCCTTCTTCCCACTCATGTCTTTGGTTGGTGTTTTTTAACTGTCTCTTTCTTCACCTCTTATGAGAGCCTGTTCTGCCTCGTTTCGGAGTTGACTCTTCATATATTCCTTTGTTCCCTGGAGGGCACAGCAGAGAGCCCTGTTGCTCTGAGTAGACTTGGGGATGCTTCTAACTCCCCTACACCTGTACAATGTAGAGCTCCCCTCAGCACACCTATCTTATCTGGTCCCTGCAGGAAATTCTTACATCACAAAGACAACTTTTCCTAATCATAAAATAATAAATAAATAAGAGTCATTAGGAAAATCAGTACCAAAAGAAAAACATTGATAACATTTTGAGATAGATCCTTCCAGACATTTTGTGTGGTTGACATTCAGACACTTAGATATATTTGCATTGAATTTTAATTACCCAAATAGAATCAAGTTAAACCATCTATTTTAAAATTTTTAATATTTACCTGGGACAATAAATAACGATAGAGAGTTAGCAGCATGGTCTCTGCCTGGGTTCAAATTCCACTCTGCCTATTTACTTGCTGTGAGACCTTGAACAATTCATGTCACTTCTCCGTGCTTCAGTTTCCAGAACTGTCAAGTGGAGATAATAATTTTTCTTATTTTATAGGAGTGTTGCAAAGATTAAATGAGTTAATATATATAGCAATTAGAAGACTTACCTTTCTCTGTTGACACTACATTAGCTATTACTGCTTACATTTTTATATAATATACATTTTTAAAAATACTTTGTAATTATAGACTTATAGAATAGAAATGAGTAATTCTCATTATAGGAAATGAAAACATTACTGAAATAAATAATTTAAAATTCACTTCAACGTGTACCAATTACACAATATCCACCCAAACTGTTATTTTAGGGATGTTTACCTAAAATAATAGAATCACTGGAGACTTTTTCTGATTTTTTTTTTTTTTTGGTGTATAATTTTCTGTTTCAAATAGGTTCATCACTTTTATTTTTTATATGCTAATACAGCTACATCTGTATCTACACACTATTTTGGAAATTGCTTTTCTTATTTGAGGGTCTATTTTAAATATCTTTCTATGAAAAGGCTAGCTAGAGTTCACTCATTCTTTTGGACAGCTGTGTGATATTCTGGCACGTGGCTGTGTCAATTTATCCAAATATTCCGTTATTGGTAAACTTTTCTTCCATTCCTTTTGCAATTACAAGCCATGCTTCAGTAAACAGCATTCCATATACTTCCATGTGCACGCATGTGAGTGTTTTTATAGAAGTTTCTGGAAGTGGAATTACTGGCTCAGTGGGTATGTAGATGTTTAAAGATTTTTCATACTCATTGCCAAATTACCCTCCACAATGTCATGCCAATTTAAACTCCCACCAGCGGTGTATGACAAGGCTTGTTTTCCCACACCTGAGTATCAGACCCAGATGCTTAATCTTTGTCAGGCTAATAGGTGTAATGGTTTCTCTTTGTCATTTTAATTTTCTGTTAATAGTAGTGAGGTTAAAACTATTTTCATATGTGTAATGATCATTTGTATTTCTTATGAAAATTGCCTGCTCATTGTCCTTTATTGTTTGAGCTTTTCTTTTGTGTCTTTCTTATTGATTGTTACACACATTTTAATATTAATTATAGTAAATCTCTATCTCGGGTAGATGTTGCATATAAATATTTTTACTGCATTGTTGATTTTTAAAATCTTTTTTCCCTTCTTCAGATTTTCAGATAATTTTTCCTGATCTATTTTCAAGTTTTCTCTTTCTTTGTCATCTCTATTTTACTAGTAAACCCACTAAACTATTTAAATTCAGATATTAGTCTTTTTTCCACTTAAGAAATTTCCATTTGTTTCTTGTTTTATAATTTCTATTTCTCTACTAAGAGTTTCTCTCTTTCCATTTTTTTTTAATGAGACTGTTTTCCTTTATTTCATTATAATAACAACTTTAGAGTCCTCGTCCAATAATTCCAACAGCTGGATTACCTTAAGGTGAGACCCTGTCAACTGTCCCTCGAGGATCAGTCACTTACTCTCTGCGGGTTGAGTCAGTTCGGACTGCATCCTGACCTTGGGTGTGTCTGGATTCTGTTCCTTTGTGTTAGCAATCCACCTAGGGTACCCTCGGCTGCACAGTGGTCTCACCTGGGGGTGGGGGTGGGGGGCGCAGGCTCAGGTCCCAAGGGCGTGCTTTATCTGTAGCTGAGCTGCTGTGGTCCGTCTCGTACTTGCAGGTCTCAGAAATGCCCCAGAGGCTTGGGCAGAGCTGACATCCAAGTCGTTCTCTAGGGACCCTGGCTGACAGGCTCTGTTTCTTAGTTCCTGGGATCAGAGAGATACGAGCTATTGGTTTTTTTTCCTGCCCTTTGCTTTACCCCAAATGTGGCCTGTCTTTAAGACAAAGTCACCAGAAGGGCAGTTCTCCCCATGCTGACCACTTTCTCCAAGTGGACTCCCCAAATCGTCCTGCTTTGTTTCCTCTCAGTGGCTGTGTCTCCACCGACACCTCGTCCCGCACCCCAATCCTAGAGTTTATTGTTATCTGGGAAAGGGACCATCTATAGGATCTTACTTCTCCATACTAGAGTCAGAGCTAGTTTGATTGTTTATTGATTTGTTTGTTTAGTGGTATATGCAAGTTTAATGTTTTTACCTAGTCAAATTTATCAGTCTTTTCCTGTATGATTTCTGAAATGGGCACTCTGCTTAAAACTATCTTTTTTTTTTTATTTTAAAAGATTTATTTATTTATTTATTTATACAAGCACTGGGTACAGTCAGAAGCACGGGAGGGTGAGAGAATTCACCAGAGCCAGAGCGGGGAGCAGAGCAGGCAGAAGGACCGAAGTACACTGCTGAGGGGAGCAGCGGGCGGCAGGAGAGGTCTGCACGCCATGCGGGACCCTCCTCTGGTGGCCGGGGAGCAGCCAGGGATCGAACCGGCGCTGCAGAGGCTGCGGGCGGCTTCGCAACCCAGCGCTCAACTGTTGCGCCACCGGGGTGGCCCTAAAACTATCTTGTCCACATCATGAGTATAAAATATTTATTTTTCCAAGTTGGATAGAACCAGGATTTATATGGGGCTTCTGTTTTCTCCAAGTAGGACCAGCAGCTGCCAAAGTCCATGTTAGAGGTAGTTGCAGTGGGAGTGGAGAGAACAGAGGGCAGAAGCCCGGGGTGGAATGGACGAGAGCTTGGTTAGTTGGCCGTGCTGGGGAAGAGCAGCTGTGGTTGAGATCCACAGATTGGGAGGCCTGTGTGTCATTCTCCAATCCAGACCACAGAGGCTCTCCGGCCCCCAGCCAGACTGTCACTCCCACTGCTGCCCCGTTCATTTCCAGCCCACAGGAAACACAGTCGTGTCCCCCCAAAAGGACCCACAGGTGACAGCTGTATGCGTCTGCCTGGTGGGTCACCGGCTCTAATGTCAGTCCACTCTTCCCTCAGAAGGCACTAGACCTGGGCTTTGAAGATAGGCATAAAGTTTCCCCCATGTCTGAAAATAGAACAGTCTTCTTCGGTATGATTTAACACATTATTTTGGGAGTCTAGAAATGCTATTGCCATTAATTTACATGAAAAAGTTTTTGAGACTTGCCAGACTCAAACAATAAAACCGGGTCATACTAATTTTGGACAGTGGAGCAGGGCAGGACATAAGGAGGGACTGGTACTTGGGTATAGATTCTGACACTGCCATTGTTAATTGTTTCTTTTCTATGAGCCTCAGTTTCTCTTTTAATGAGATGAACATAAAAATAGTAACCTAGTACTTTGAGGATTTCAGGAAGACAATGCTTGGCACCAGAGCCCACCCAGCCTGCACTCACTTGGTGCATATGCTACATCAGATCAGACATGCGTTACTTTGCCACCACCTGCTGTGTGGCCTGGGGTAGGCTCTGCAGCCCATGGTTCTGTCTCACAGGAACTTCCACGTCTGGAATGAAAGCTGGTTTGTGCGGACTGACCTGGGCCCTGCATACAACGGATGGCAGGTTCTGGATGCCACACCCCAGGAGAGGAGCCAAGGTAACCCCTTGCCAGCCTACCACCTGCCCCCTTTGCTGGGTTTCGTTCTAAATTTCAGCCTCTCGATACATTCCAGTAGTGGACAGAACACAGGAAGGAACCAGATATCCTTCCACTGGATCCCAGCACAGTGGGATTAAAAGAAAGATATTTTCAAAGTAGATTTCCTCTACTAATTTCCTTTGGCTCGGCTGTGGTTTAAATAAGTGCCTCCCCTGTGCCCACACGGCTGCCATCGCTCCTGCAGAGGCCCCGCACGTGCCAAGAACAAGGGAAGGAGCCTTCCTCTGCCAACAATGAGTCCCTGCAGGCTGCCAGTAGCCACACCCTCCCAGCTCAGAACCTGCCATCTCCCAGTGCCTTGGGGGTCCAGCCCAATTCCTGGCTCAGCTTGAGGCCTCTCTGACCAGGGCACCTGCACCCTCTCATGTCCACATGTGCGCCTCTGCCACGCCAGCTCTCCTTCGCGGCCCAGGCCTCTCCCTGCCCCTGAGCTCCCACTCCGGCCTGTCTCCTCCTCTCCCTGCAGAGCTGGGCTCCCCGGCTCTTCCAAACTCTCTCCTCTTCCCTCCTCTGGCCTCTAGAGCATGTCTTATCTGTTACCTTCACCTGGAGTTTGTTCTTTCAAAGTTAAAAAGAAACTAGCAATGGGCCTCCCTGGTGGTGCAGGTGGTTGAGTGCCGCACTGTGAAGCTGTCCCAGCCTCTGCAGCGCCTGTTTGACCTGGCCGGTCCCACATGGCGTGGCAGACCTCTCCTGTCTCGCCCGCTGCTCCCCTCAGCAGTGTATTTCATCAGTCTGCCTGTTCTGCTCCCTGCTTTGTCTCTGGTGAATCCTCTCACCCTCCCACACATCTGGTCTGTACCCGGGGTCTTATATAAGAATAAATTAAAATCTTTAAAAAGAAAAAGAAACTAGCGATTAAAGTAATATGGGCATGTGGTCAAAACAAATTTCAAAGTGTTCTAAAAGGACCTACAATGAGAGTTACATCTTACCTCCCCCCCCACCCTGAGTTACTAGGTCTGTGGGTAGCTGCCTGGTTGGGGTGGGGTCCACCTTCCAGGTGTTTTCTAGGCCACTATGTTTCAAACGTTTTACTGCAACACATTAGTGCTTATAAAATCAAGCCAGTGTGTTGTGAGCATCATTTTAAGAAATGAAATGGGATGGCGTGGGAAGGAGGAAAAGCAAAGAAAAGGTCAGGTGCACTGGTCACACTAAGAATAGGTACCGGCAATAAAAATTTCCTATGAAACTTTTATTTCTGTGTCACATATGTGCCATGAGACAGAATCTTTTTCTTTCTGGAAGTCATGGTGGAAAAAGAGTTGAAATCACTGCTCCAGGCATATAAAATGTGTGTATGTGTATGTTGTTGCTGTTGATTTGCTTTGTAACCACAAATGGGATAGTACTCGTTTCTTTTCACAGCAACTTGCTATTTTTTGGCTGGGCACTTCATGAGTAAAACTATCTACACCTATCTCTATCCACCCCTCTATCCACCCATATCTAGCCAGCCATCATCCATCTATCTGTCTCTCTGTCTCTCTGTCTATCAATCAATGGATGAATCAATCGGAGCTACCTGCGCTGAGTGCCAGAGGAGGGAGGTGGTGGTCAGGGCAAGTCTTCTAAGAATCGGGGGGCTGTGATTTGGGAAGACTGGATTACAGAGGTAGAATAGCACAAGACAGAAAGACCTCCCTCTTTAGGAAACAGACCAAGGGTCAGCATGAATGATGCGCCCACAGAATGCAGAATCAGACCAGTCTTCTGCGGAGGGGGAGTCTGACCAGGGAAGGTCTATACCAAATGAGGTAGGCAGACAGCAGGGCCTGAAGGAACGTGGCTAGGTAGAGAGGGGGAGTTGGTGATTGTGGATGGCCCTGGGAGCAGCCCCTGGGTGGGCTGTTGCCAAAGGCCCTGGCATGCATTCACCCTCTGGTCCTGGCCACCAGGGGTGTTCCAGTGCGGCCCTGCCTCAGTTAACGCCATCCGAGAGGGCGATGTGAACCTGGAGTTCGACGGACCCTTTGTCTTTGCGGAGGTCAATGCCGACCGCATCACCTGGATCTACGACGCTGCCACCGGCAACCAGAAGAAGAACTCCACAGACACTCGCAGTGTTGGCATCTACATCAGCACCAAGGCAGTGGGCAGTTACTCCCGCATGGATGTCACGGAGAAGTACAAGTACCCAGAAGGTAGGAGGGCCGCGGCCCAGGTGGTGCCAGTCAGGGCTGGATGGTGGGAAGACAGCCTTGAAGGTGGAGAAGGGAAAATTCCTCGTCCTCCTCCCATGTCCTCAGCCAGTTTTGCCTGAATGGTCAGACTGCTCCCAGGCACCTGACGCCCCGCTCCCCACATGGTTTCCAGTGGGGACAGACCAGGTGTGGGCAGACCTGGCGCCAGGGGAAGTCTCCTGCCAGGCGCAGGCAGCTGTCAGCCCTGTTCATCTCCAGTTGTGTTGTACCCCTTTGCCAGTTGCTCAGCTAGGGTGATAGGACTGTGACTGAACACCACGGGAACAAGCAGGAGACCCCAAAGCTGCAGGCTCTTGCAGTGTATGTGAGGGGCCTCCCCAGAAGTCAGATCAGCTGGGGCTCCATCCCTGAAATCTTAGGCCTCCCCATGAGCACTAGTCTCCTCAAGGTCACCTGAGAGGCCGGGAGGCTGCCTCTACTTACTGGCCTTTGTTGCTTTATTTTAGACATTGCTTTCGGGGTTACCGCTTTTTGTGATGATTCTCAGTGCTGACAAAAGTTTACACTGTGATGTACATTTTTTAGAAATGGTCAAAAGTAAACTAATGCTGGCCACACCTTGCCAGCATCAACAGTCCACTCTTTATAAAATGCCTTGAGTCGATTTTGTTGATACAGTTGGTTCTGAGGGGTCAAGAAAAGGTGTCCATAGCACAGGCTTGTGTAAACCCTGAACACTGTGGCTGCTGGTGCTGGTGCAGTTAGCAGAAGGCAGAAGCTAAGCACAAGAGAGAGGACAAGTCCAATGGGGGACCCCTCTGAGCAGTAGTGTTTGTGGATATTTTGAGGCATGACTATAGGGTAAAGAGATCGGCGGACCCCATTTGGCCCCTCTCGTCTCTGCAGGCCATTCCCACAGGTAAGGTCGGAGGTCCCGTCCCTCAGTAAACACGTACTGAGCCCAAGCCTCGGCACCTAGGGTCTGCTCCACACGTGGCTCTGGAGAGGCAACAAAGAACACTACTGACAGGGTCCCCATCCCAGGGAGTTTACTCCCCGGGGGAGCACAGATGCAAGACAGGGCTCTCAAGGATGCCATTTTGTAGAAATAAGTGTAGGGGCCAGGGAACAAATCCCCAGCGACAGGAGCCGAACTCCACCACGTACACCTGTGTGCCGTCAGGCAGGAAGTGATCCCGCACGGCCTCCCTGTCGAATGAGATAAGCATGCCTGTCTTTGGTCGTATTTAAATGAGCTAATATTCATGAAGTGCCAAGCCAGTGAAGACAATAAACAGTGGTCGTGATTTTCAGTATCAACTTGAACATCTACAGCCTCCCTAGGTAACTATCTTGAGCACATTACTGATGTGGATACATGATCCTGTGAGGTTCCCGCCTGCATTGCCACACCTTGATGCTGCTTTTTGGAGACTCTGGCTGTCCCAGCTAGACCCCCTAAGCCATGGAGAGGGGCCAGGTTGTGGCCAGGCTGGGGGAGCCCTACAGGACCCCTCGCAGCGCCTCAGCCCCTGCATGACAACAGGGCTGACAGCACTGCCCACTTCTGCCCAGTTCTCCATACCTAATGATGCCAGTTGTCTCTAGGAAAGAAAAGCTCATAAAATGGGTTGCTAAGCATTTGCGCAATAGCAACACCAAAGAGAAAACAGTAGCAGGAAGCTTAGTCTTGACTAAGATCAGCAGGTGACCTATATAGGTATTCTGGCTCTCAGCCTCATTGTGCAAACACACCAGCGTCAAGGTCCTGAGCACCAGCTCCCCGCAGACAGCAGCCCTGGGTGTGGACTCACAGCTCGACTAGAAAATGGAAAGACACCAAAAGGAACCCAGCCCTCCGGGAGCTCTCAGCTTGGGTAATCTGGCTGCTGCCTCCTCTCCAGTAGGGTGTGTGGGAGGAAGCTTGGTCTATGGGCCTAGGCACCTGGGGATGGGCGCCCTCTCTGCCTCGGATGCCCTGTTGCTTGGACCAGTTGTTTCTCCTTAGGGCCTCTGAGGTCTCTGCGGGTTTCCATGTAACTCACAGGAAGGGCCTTGTTATGTTACATTGTAAAGTATTTCTGATAAATCCTCTGGTGCCTTAAAAACTTGCCAGATTGTACAGAGAAGGTGCGGGGTGCGGAAGGTGCGGGGTGCGGGTCATGAGCATGGTCTGCAGATAGAAACAGTCGCTGTTCTTCGTGTCCTTCCGTCAGTGTCCCTGGGAGGCCAGTGCCTTTTCCCAGGGAGTAGATCTGTCCTCAGGTTTAGGCAGGGAGCCTTATGTGGACGGAGTGGTCAGCGCTGGCTCAGAGGCCTGGTGTGGGTTACTCAGGTCCGCGCCCAGGGCTCGTGACAGCGGAGTGCATCACCACCATCCTCCCTGCTGCTTACACCACCCCGTCCAGCAGCAGCCACAGCCCAAGTCAGAGTCACGAGACCCGGCCTCTCAGCCAGCCTTGGTGAAATCCAGCCTTTGAAAGCTGGATTCTCCCTCGTTTAGGCAAGTCCTGACTTAGAGCCACATCAACCACGGGAGGTTCTATCAGCAAGCACAGGCACAGATGCGCTCTTCTGCCCTCAATGCACCTTCAGGACAAAGCGCAGACTCACAGGCTCACGTGGCTTGAAAAGAATTTTAATCAAGTTCATTCTGAATCTTCATCTGTTTGGTTGTTGGTTATTAACTCATTCTAGTCTTTTCCACCTCCATTTTTGTGATTTATTTTAAAGTTATCTGTTTGTTCTTTAAGTTGTGCAAGAGACTATTTAAAAAAAAAACTAATTTAATTACTATCAAGCCCTACAGTAATTTGTGCAGGCGTGGCTAGGTCTTTCCTGACAGCTCTAGGAAGTTCGAGCTGACAGCAGATGAGCCATGGAGCAGCTGATGCAGGAGGCTCGTGTGGAGGAGGCTGGGATGGAGGCTGGAGAGGTCAGGCGCTTGCCTGGACCAGCACGGCTGTTCGTGGCTGAACCCAGCGAGTCCCTCCCTGGACTCACTTTTCCAGGTGGGGCGCCGTCCAGCACCCTACTTGCTACCACATCCCTGAAATGCTTCTCCCTTTCCTACCACACAGGTTCCGGTGAGGAAAGAAGAGTGTTTGAGAAGGCTCTGGGGAAACTTAAACCCAACGCATCATTTGGCCCAACCTCTGCAGGAGACAGGGAAAGAGAGGACTCAGAGCCCAGCATCTCAGGGGTGTTCAAGGTCAATGGCGTCCTGGCAGTGGGCAAGGAAGTCAACCTGCTCCTGCAGCTGAAAAACCTGACGCGAGATATGAAGACAGTGACCGTGAACATGACGGCCTGGACCATTGTCTACAACGGCACACTTGTCCACGAGGTGTGGAAAGACTCTGTCACAATATCCCTGGATCCCGAGGAAGGTAACTGGTCCTGGGGTTTGTGGAGGCACCCAGCTCCCGAGGGAGCTGACACTGCTGGGCTTGGGGAGTTCCCACTGGAGCAGACCCAACCGAGTAAGGAAGGCACGGCAATGACCTCTGTGGTTAAGCCTTGGGTTTGGAAGCTTTGGAAGTTGCTGTCATGGTAAACAGTGCAAGTCAGGGTGGTGCCAACCCAAATCCTTGCACACCCTGGGGGAGGAGGGAGGATTTAACAGTTAATAGGAACACTAAAGGGGTATCCCTGACAGGTCTTCACCACTCTACAGTTTGCAGAGGGCTTCCTTACAACCTATCTCATTTGACTTCCTAAAAAGAACAGATCCCCCATTTGATAGAGGCAGAAACAGAGGCTTGGAGGGATTGCAACTTGCTTAAGAGATCAAGTGTCATAGCTAGGAGGCGGCAACGTTGGGGTCTCAGTCTTAGGCTTCCCCGTGCTAAATCCAGAGCCACCTCCTATTTTCTGGATTGTATTGCTGCCACTTTCCCTCATGCCACCCCACCCCACATTGAATCACCTTTCAGTTTGACCGTAGAAGGGTTTGAACCCTCACCCAGTGTTCCCTCAGGGCTGCCTGGGGCTGGGTGAGCTATCTTGATTCCGGTGACAGCTATGGGTTTTCTTGGGAGTCGGAGCCCTTAGGAGGGTGACTCCTTACTCCCAAGTAGCACAGATGGGAAGGGACAAGGTGGAGCAGAGAAAAGCCACTTCTGTAGAGGAATCAGAATGCAGGTGTGCCCAGTCCACAAAATCCTTCAAGCTGCTAATGAAAAGTGGGGAGTTACAAAGCAGATTAACAAGGGTGGGGTAGCTATTTGCTTCACATAGGGAACTAATAAAAGCTGATTCATTATCCAGCCCATCTTGAGGGAATTCAATGGAGAAATTGAGAGGTGTTACACCTGTCAGAGGCAGCAGCCCCCAGCGATCTGGCAGAATTTTAACAGAATTTTCTCCCAATGTCAGAAGCAACTGCCCTGCTGTTATTTACCTTCAGTGCTCCAGGGAAGAGCTATTTTTGTAGGCCAAAAATAACTCAGATGAAAGAAATGTGGAAAAAATACACTTCTGTAAGAGGCAGCAGAGTAAAATGGGAAGGGGGAGGAAGCAGGTGAAGTGACCCCAGAGTCCGGACACCGTCGCCTGCTTTCTGGGTGACCATGCTGAGTCCTTTACTCAGCTCCTCCGGGAGGGGAGCCTTCCCGGAGGGGAGGTGGAGGGGTCAGGCCAGCTGATGCCTTCAGAGCAGGCTGGGCGAATTCCTCCAGTGCTAAAATCAAAGGCAGCTTCCTCCCCGCAGCCTTACCCCAAAAAGGACAGGATGCTGTGAGTACAGGGCCCCCCCCCAAGACCACCCAACATGACCCCATGAAGGCAGGCCCTGGACCATGAGAAGGAAGAGGTCCCTATTTGGTATGTGATGTCAGAGACGGGGTGTTGAGGCTTGGTGTAAAGGCAGGACAGGACACAGTGCAGGTTTTCTGATCCCAAGCAGACCGGGTAAAGAAGTCAGAGTCCTCAGAGTCCTTAGTGGGTTTTTGCAGGTCTTTTATTGGGGTTCACCAGGCATATGGCAGGCAGAGGTGCTGGGGGGCCGGGAGGCTGGCAGTCCTCCCAGCCCCCAGCAAATCCTCACTCTATCCGGGCTCTCTAGCATTCTCTGCTTCTACTTCGGGCTTCTTCTCTTTCGGCTTCTTTCTCAGCTTCTGCTGGCATCCCCGTGACGCCACCCTTAAAAGCCCAGTCTTAGCCCAGGTGAATCCCATCTTCCTATGCCCACACCCTACTCCAGGTGCCCGCCATTAGGCATGCATTCAGGACCTCAAGGATCCATCATCTATCCTAATGGGTGGGAGGGCAGAAAAGCCTGATACCTTTTACCTTACCCTACACTTGGGGAGGAGCCAGATATATGGAGAGAAGCTAGGAGGGCATTACCATCAGAGGGAACCCCATGGGCTGAAGCCTGGAGGTGCCAAAGTGCCTATTTGTGGAAGGACCAGTGAGAGGCTCAGAGGGCTCCCTCAGGGGGACTCGGGGATATGGGGCCAGATGGAGGGGGCTGAACTTGATTCCTGAGGAGCCATGGAGGATTGTGAAGTGGCATGGAAGGAGAATGGCATGATTTGGGGGGGAGGGTTGGGGAGTGCTTCCAAAGCCCCATCTGACTCAGGTGTGTGGGGATGATTTGGAAGCAAAGATACCAGAGGTAGGGAGGTGTTTTGGATGCTGTTGTAATGGAATCCCGGGCTATTAAATTACCTGGGAGGGTGCTCAGCACATCTAGCTAATCCCTGGCTCCCCTTCCTATTTATTATCGTGCTGTGGTCATTATCATCATCATTGGACAATCAGTTAACATTCATATTCTTCCCTGGCCCCTTGAAGGAAACTAGCCCTCAGACATTTCCAGGATGGGGAGGAATCTTCAGCCCCTAAAAGTTCATCCTCCTGGGAATCTTCCCCTCCAGTCAGTGTCCTGGTCTCTGGAGCCTGCACAGAGCAGGGGGGTGTTTCCCAGGGGGCTGGCCCCAGAAGGGCCTGCTCAGGCCCTGGGCTACAGAGATTCCTGGCCAGCTCACCCTGACGTGGCTTGGCACCAGCTCTGAAGGTTTCAGCAGTGAGTCCCACTCCCTCTCACTCTGCTCCCTGGCGTCTCCTTCTAGAAACCGAGTACCCGGTGAAGATCTCCTACGCTCAGTATGAGAAGTACCTGAAGGCAGACAACATGATCCGGACCACAGCCGTGTGTCAGGTCACTGACGAGGCCGAAGTGGTGGTGGCGAGGGACATCATCCTGGACAACCCCACCCTGACTCTGCAGGTAAGCAGGGAAGGATGCCTCCTCAACCCACCCCCCCAACACCAGCCCCAAACTCCCAAGCCACCAGGAAGGCTGTTCCCCACGAGGGGACAGAGAACAGGCCCTGCTCGCTCCGGCCCCCACAGCTGGGTGGAGTCTGCCTGAGCCAGACATCACCAATCTGAGGGTGCAGGCCAGCAGGCAAGGGCAGATAGATGAACAGGCCATGGATATGGTGTCTTCCTGGGGACCTCACAGGTTAGGCTCCTGCTGAGTCTGCTGTACCTGCCATCTGTCCCGGCTGTCTAGACAGTAACAGCCTTTTTCTGGCCAATCACATTGCAACTGTCTCCCAAGCCCCAGATCCCAGAGGAGCTGAACATTGTGGCTGTCTGGGTCACCCACTCCCTGAGATCTACCCTAGCCGCAGGGTTTCCTGGCCTCAGAGGGCAGCTAGTGAGCCCAGTCACTGTCCTGCTAGTCTGGACTGTGCTTCAGAGGGGGGTGGGGATATCCCCCCACCTCAGGTTAGAGAGCCAGTTAGACCATCAGTTGGGGGGAGCAAAGAGGAGCAATGGTCCAGACCTTGGACCTGCCCCCTTGCCAGGCCCCACCTTCTGTCAGCAGCAACACTTTAAGTCCCTCCTTCTCTGTGTGCCAGCGGCTCCAGCTCTGTCACAGGGACAATAGACACTTCCCTTGCAGGGTGTCATTCCCTCAGGAAGCCTTTCTCACCCCTCACCTCAGGCCTGGTCCCCAGCACCTTCTGTCTCTCCCCTCAGCCTATACTCCTCAGGCGCCCCCTGTTCTGGGCCCACCGCTGTCTATCTCCCTGGCATACTTTAAAAGCCGGTCAGTGTTTGGAAAGCAGAAACAGGACTGGATTAGAGCGATTGGCTCCGGGCTTGTGTTCCTCCCCACCCACAAGTTTTCACTGTCGGTCCTTGCTTGTCCTCTGCGTGTTAAAGCTTCTGCTTCGCAAGGCATTTCCAGAACCACGCCCCGTCCCTATAGACACGGACCAAGCGTGGGTCCTACTCCCGAGATTGGGAAACCACGCTGGGCGGCAGCCAGTTATGAAAATACTGTGTTTAAATGAAGTGAGTTTTTCACCCAATATATTCCCTTATCCAATATCCCCAAACCTTCTAGCTTATCTTTTATTCAATGGTTTTGCTCTACATCCATTGGATTTCCATATAAAGTTGGCTTTGTCTTTCAAAAGACTATACTACCTTTGGAGAGGAAATCAGAATATGCCCAGGCTGGAAATAGACCATCGAGAACTTTACTATTTAATCTTTTTGAAAGGTACCTGATCTTTCTCCTCGTGGGCATCTTTATGTAAATTTCCTTCTAACATATTTCTCGCCTTTACTTCAGCCTTCAGAGAATCAAAACATCTCTGTCTTAATTGAATTAATCAACATATCACTCACTCAGAACAGAGTACAGATTTTTAAACTCATGAGGGTGATCGGTAGGAAAAGGTAATAATTTCCAAAATTCTGTTGTCTTACCTGGCAGTCAGCCTTGAGCACCTTAAACTGTAGCATCGGACCATGATCTCTGAACATTGTTCCAAAGGAGCCGAGAAGCCCTGGTCCAGGTCAAATGTCCAGAGATGCCTGGACAAGTTGGTGCCCTGTTCCCCAAAAGAAATGTGGGCCCTTAAGTACTTTGAGGCCAAGATTAGAAATGAGGAACTTGAGATGCTAGTTAAAGGCAAGATTTTTTGAAAACTGACAGCAAAAAGGAGAGCTCCAGGGAGCCCTCCTTAAACAAAGAGGCTCTCTGAGGTGCCTGGGCTACGGGTCTATTGAGGTTTTGGGGCTGGCATTTGAGAACAAAGGAGTTAGACTTTATTGGCTGAGAAAACAAGGAGCATGCGCTTGGCTAGTGTCTATTTGCCCACCTAAGTGTGGCTGATCATGAGCTCCCGCTTATTGTTGCTGATTGTGAGCACCCATCAGCGGTAGCCGGGTGGTCACCCGGGCTTCTGCCCACCTCATGGGTGCATCTTGTGGAGGCTGTGCCCACAGCTCCAGAGTGACCCAGTCTGGTCTCAGGTCTGTAACTCCCTCCTTCTTCAACAAGCTGATTTGATAAGCTATAAAGAGGTAGCTCACAGGTCGGAGGGAAAAATCATTAAAAAAGAAAAACACAGTGGGCCAAGGAAATTTATGGCATCGGGTGTCCAGAGTCATGAGGTCTGCCTAACCTCTTGTAACCAGTCTATGGGAAGAGCAGTGTTCTGTCCTCAAGTCCTGCCCTGGTGTTATCCAGAGACAACCCCTGTCTCGGTGTGGGAGCCCTGGCCAGACCACACACAGTACACAGAGAATCTTTGGGCTCCAGGAAGACTTGGATAGGCCAGGGTCTCATCACAAGAAGGTGACCTGAACTGGGGCAAGGGCCCAGCGCCATGTCCTGTGGAGAGACCTCTTGGGGAAGCCAGGGAACAAACAGGACCAGCGACAGGGTAGTTCTGAACGATACTAAGTTCTGAATGAAACATTTCCCAGCCTCAGAGCAGCCGACAACGGAACCAGGATGGCCTGGAAAGCAGGAGGGCCCTTCCCAAGATGAACTGGAGGAGCTTATGAACCCGTGGGGGAGTTAAAGTTAAAGCCACTGCCACCTGCCACCTCTCCTCCTGCAGCAGTGCTCTGGGTGTAGGAGGGAGATGCTAGCAGTTTCCTGAGATGCCCCCTGCATGCATGTCACCACTCTGTCCCTTCCTCAGTGACCTCTCCCCCACCAGCAAACCACCCGCCCTGCCTGTGGGCTCGCTCCCAGTACAGGGAGTAGACAGCACAGGTGCCCTGATGCCCCCACCCCTCTCCCATAGGTGCTAGATGAAGCACGGGTGCAGAAGCCCGTGAACGTGCAGATGCTGTTCTCCAACCCCCTGGACGAGCCGGTGAAGGACTGCATCCTCATGGTGGAAGGCAGCGGCCTGCTCCGGGGCAACCTCAAGATCCAGTGAGTACCAGGCCTCGGGAGTGTGGGTGGCGAGAAGGGGGCAGAGAGGGCCTCCTGGGAGTCAGGGCAGGGCATACAGAGCTCCCTCAGCCTCAGAATACACATTTGCATATGCTCTGGGGTTCACCAAATACGAATTCCCCGGAAGTCCAGGTCACCAGAGCTTAGAGCTGGTCCTCAAAGTTTAGCATATTTGGAAAATCATGAGCCACTCAGCTTTCCCTGCTGGGGAGTCCCAGGGCTGGAGGGCACTGACGCATCAGTTTGCCCAGGGCGGGCCTTGGGGCCAGTGAAAGACTGTGCTACATGAGGTCTGGTTCTCTCACTATCCCCACTGACCTGTGCCTTTCACCCCCCAGAGTGCCAACGCTGCGCCCCAAGGAGAAGTCCCGGGTGCGTTTCGAGATCATGCCCACTCGGAGCGGCACCAAGCAGCTGCTTGTTGACTTCTCCAGTGACAAGTTCCCTGCCATCAAGGCCATGCTGTCCATCGATGTGGCCGAGTGAAGATCTTGGGTGCCCTTATACAAACTTGGGTAACATGGAGCAGATGGGGCACATCTGGGCCAGGAGCTCTTGCCCACTCCATCTGGGAAATGGAGTGGGAAGCCCCATCCGTCCCCCAAGGTGGCCTGGATGTTGACCTCCAGCCTCCAGCACACGCTCCCTCCCTCGCCTCCAGGCTGGGCTGGCTCTACCCTGGCCTGTGACTGCATCACATTTGCACTTCAGCTGCCGGCTCTGTAAGCCCCATGGCCCCCCCCCCCGCTCAGCCCACATGCCCATCGATGCTGCAGGATGGGATGGAACCAGCCCCAGCCACGACCCCAGTGGATACCAGGGAGAAGATTGCCCGGACTATGTGCTGGTCCCCAGCCTACTCCTCCCCTAGGCCACTGTGGAGGGGAAGGGACGGTCAGCCATCTGTCATGTCACTCACATTCTTACACTCAAAATAAATATTCAAAAGAGCTTTGCTATGCCCCCAGTGTTTCAAGTCAATTCAGGAAAACCTTCTAACTTGATGTCCAGAAATAGATGAGGCTGCCTTAGGGGTCAGTGCTGGCCTCCAGCATCCCCGCATGGCCAGGCAGACTCTGTCAAGGCCTTTCCACTATGGGCAGTGAGCAGGACTGCAGGGCCTCTGCTGGGACTCCGGCGGAGCAGGCACTGGCAAGGGCCCGGCCTCTGTACTCCTGTTCCTTCCTTGAGCTGCGATCTTCCTCTTGCAGCCAGGAGACAATGTGCCACTGAGGCACCTCAGCACTGCTAACTCTTCCAGAACCTTCTCTGCTATCACACAAGCTCCAGTGCTTCCTCAGTCTTTTTCCCTTGAGATAACCCCAAGCAGATCCAAGTCTTCCTGCCACTGGTGTTCTCTAATCCCGTGTGGGCACCTGGGCCTCGTCTTCTGAATTGAAGGGGCCAATGCAGTCTAAATGGGGTCTTGAGTCTCACATCCAGCTCAAAGCCTTGGCCCTGGGCTCAGTCTGGGCCTAGCCTATAATTACAGAGGGGCCACTGTCCACTCCTGGCTTCTTCCCCTTCCTTCTGCCTATTGCTGGATCCTTCAGAGTTAGAGCAGGCAGCGAGAGAACAAAGAGAAAAGCAGCAAAGGTCTGTGTCACGGGTGCCAGTGCAGGAGGCCTCTACAGTGTGGCTGGTGTGTAAATGAAGCCTTTCTGCACTGCGTCTCCTGACGGGCCACACGCCCTTAGGTCTGGAAGCAGGGAGTTCACCCCTCCACCTCCCATTGCTCAGGAAGTACAGGTCCTTTCTTGATGCTTTCAGCCCACTCCTATTTCATGGGGTCCGCAGGCCCGTGGTCACTCACACTTCCATGTGTGAACATGAGGGAAAGACCAAATGAATAGAAAAAATGACTCCAAGTGGGCCTTGATAAGACATTTAATTAACAAAGACATCTAATTAACAAACTATAAAACTGCTGACCTCCAGGCCTGTTATTACATAGAATAGTTCACATTCTTATTGTTTAATACACTCCTTTAAAAAGGCATTACCATCCCACAAAACTTACATACTCCTAAAGACTTCTCAGTCTACTTCCTGGAAGATCCGCCTGGCAGTTGAAACCAGGAATGGTGCAGGAAGGCAAGCAGTAAGGGGACGATTTGGGGTTGACTCACTGCCCAGCTGCCAATGAACCCACTTCCTCAGTCCATATCCCATCCCAGGTGAGAAGGGATAACGACATCTGGACACCCTCAGAGATCTTGACTCCCCAGACTCCTCTGGGCCCTCAGAGCCTATGGAAATGGTCGATCCCCTTCCCATTAAGACCTAGTTTAGGGCCTCCCCGGTGGCGCAGCGGTTGAGTGCTGGGTTGCGAGGCTGCGCGCGGCCTCTGCGGCGCCGGTTCGATCCCCGGCTGCTCCCCGGCCACTGGAGGAGGGTCCCACATGGCACGCAGACCTCTCCTGCCGCCCGCTGCTCCCCTCAGCAGTGTACTTCGGTCCTTCTGCCTGCTCTGCTCCCCGCTCTGGCTCTGGTGAATTCTCTCACCATCCCGTGCTTCTGACTGTACCCAGTGCATGTATAAACAAAACAAACAAACAAACCAGCAAACAAATAAATAAAGCATGCCTCTATTAAAAAAAAATTAAAAAAAAAAAAAAAAAAGACCTAGTTTACCCCTTTGTGAGAAGACCATGAAGAAACCTCTTCCAGCAAGTCAATAGGCCCACTCAAGATCTGCTCCTTCCGCCTCTCTTGGCATCCAGACTGATAAATGATGTTAAGTGGAGCCAAATTCATCTGAATATGTGCTGGGCCTGATAAGGGAACAAAAGACTACATGCCAAAAGAGCAATTAATATTCGCCACCAGGTGCCAGCAGGAGCAGGGCAATACTGGAGAGAGAGGATTTGAAAGTACTTAATCAAGGGGGTTGGAACATTAGCCTGAACTGGAAGAGTTTATTGACTTGGGGCCATTCTTTTGTGATATTGGATTTAACACACTGACAAGGACCCTGAGGGTCCTTTGGAATAAAGACATTTTGTTCCAAATGTCTGGAAAAAGTGGTGGCTTATGTAGAGTGTAGTTCAAATGGCTGAACTGTCATGTGATAGGAAAGGACAGGATTAAAAGCTTTAGGGAAGTGGGCATGCTAGAGCCAACCTTTCACAAGGCCATAGGGATTCCTCTCTGCTACAGGATTTTGTTCCATTGGAGACCCAGACGCTACATACACAATTCACTAAGGCCATCAGGAATGCATGGGTGACAGAGGCATCAACATCACTAAGAAATTCAGTAATGGCCTCCACATTTAAAAAACAGCAATGTGGGGCCTTCCTGGTGACGCAAGGGGTTAAGGCGCAGCACCATGAAGCTCTCAGTAGCCATTGCAGCACGAGTTCGATCCCCAGCCAGGGAGGTGACACACAGGGCGCAGCAGACCTCTCCTGTCTCACCCACTGCTCCCCTCAGCAGTGTATTTCAGTAGATCTGCCTGTTCTGCTCCCCACTCTGTCTCTGATGAATCCTCTCACCCCCTGCACCTCTGGCCTATACCCCAGTTCTTGTATGTATAAATAAATCTTTAAAACAACAACAACAACGTGTGTGGAGTTTATAATAATGTTATAGAGCTAAAATGTATGAAAAGTAGCAATGACCAGTAAGGGTTGAAGTGAAATATACTAATGTAAATTTCTTACAGCATACAGAAAATGATGAAATATCATCTAATAACAGAGTGATAAGTTAATGATGTATATTAAACCTAAAGCAACCATGAAGAGAAAAAAAAAAGGAATTTGATCAAAAAGCCAATAAAGTAGAGAAAATATAATAGGAAAAAATAATTACTAGAAAAAGAAGGCACAAAAGAAGGGGATAATGAATAAATAATACAGATAAAAATTAAGTAGTCATGGCAGATTCAAATCCAATCCTGTTAATAACCACTTAATTATTATAATCATTAATAATTCAATGTAAGTGACCTAATTAAAAAGCAGATATTGTCAGATTGAATAAAAATGCAAAAACCATTTATATTGTGCTACCAAAAAAATCAACTTTAAGTATTAAGTCAGAAACAGGTTCAACGTAAAAGGTGAAAGACGATATAGCATCAAATAGTAACCAAAAGGAAGGCTGGAGAGACTATAGGTGAAACAAAATAGGTGAAAAATTGTTACCAGAGAAAAAGATGAAAAGACCAACCCATCAGGAAGAATAACAACTATAAGTATTTTTAATGTCCTTTGACAACAATAAAATTAAATTTGAAATCAATAATATAAATTTATCTGAAAGCCCACAATATTTAGAAATTAAAGAAAAGTCATCTGAATAACTATGGATCAATGAGGTCAAAAAGGGAGTTACAAGATGCAAAAGCACATTTCAAAATTTGTAGGATGTAGTTAAAGCAATGCTACTTCTTTCCTTTTTTTTTTTAATTCTTACTAAAGCAATATTTAGAGGGAAACTCTTAGCACTAGATACCTATGTTAGAAACAAAGAAACAAATCAATGAACTCAGCTTCCATCTTTGAAAGCTAAAAAAATTAAACTCAAAATAAGCAGAAGGAGGGCCTCCCCGGTGGCGCAGCGGTTGAGCGCTGGGTTGCGAAGCTGCCCGCGGCCTCTGCAGCGCCGGTTCGATCCCCGGCTGCTCCCCGGCCACTGGAGGAGGGTCCCACATGGCACGCAGACCTCTCCTGCCGCCCGCTGCTCCCCTCAGCAGTGTACTTCGGTCCTTCTGCCTGCTCTGCTCCCCGCTCTGGCTCTGGTGAATTCTCTCACCCTCCCGTGCTTCTGACTGTACCCAGTGCATGTATAAACAAAACAAACAAACAAACAAATAAATAAAAGCATGCCTCTATTAAAAAAAAAAAAATAAGCAGAAGGAAATAAATAACAAAACATATGAATCAATAAAACAGGAAAAACTGTACACCAATGAAAGTAAAAGTGGGTTCCTTGAGAAGATCAACTAACTGGAGGGAAATAAACAAGACACAAGTCACCAGTGTCAGGAATGACAGAACCTGCAGTTTTCTTCGGGGTGGGGGAGGGTTGTTTTGTTTTGTCAAAGATTTATTTATTTATGCAAGCACTGGAGTACAGGCCAGAGTTGCAGGGGGTGAGAGGATTCACCAGAGATAAGGCAGGGAGCAGAACAGGCAGAATGACCATAATACACTGCTGAGGGGAGCAGGGGGCGAGACAGGAGAGATCTGCAGCACCATGTGGCAATCTCCCTGGCTGGCTGGGAATCGAACCAGTTCTGCAGAGGCTGTGGACAGCTTCACAGCACTATGCTCAACCCGCTGAGTCACCAGGGAGGCCCAGAACCTACAGGGTTTTTTTAAGAAAATAAGGAATATTACACACAATGTTACGCCAATAAATCAGACAACTTAGATGAAATAGACAAATTTCTTGAAAGGCACTAACTTTCAAATTTCATTCAAGAAATATATCCAGAATATCCCCAAATCTATTAAAGAAATTGAATTTGGAATAAAGACACTGTCCAGCTGACCATTTCCCAATAAGCCA